TATGACTCCTCCTATTGAGTGACTTCAGTAGATAGGGTGGTTACTGGGCTTTGTGATGTCATATATTACTGGCAACTCCTTCATATGTGGAGTTTAGGAAGTGGGGTAACTAGGGGTGCATGCCATTAGAGATCCACAGCGTGGGGGGGTTTAAGTGTTTCACTGAACTGCAGTTAGGGGCACTGAGATGGGCAAAAGGAGCTTAGAACAAAAAGTCATTCTGCTGACAGAAGGATCTTCCTGTAAGAACTAGAAAATAGTTCTGAAAACTGTTTACCCAGAGATCATTCTTCCACAGAATTATCATCTGAGCTTTTCCAAAGATTCATTCTCTAATCTAAATTCTGAGAGGGTATGCAAAAGCTTCTCTGGCAGAGACATGATGCTTAGAGTCCCACATACCTCACCCAGATATTGATTTCCTGGGTGTTTTTTAACCTCATTCCCTTTTCATCCCAGCTGCAAAACAAATGAAGAAATATTTATTTTTATGAAGCTCATTTATTTACACATCACTTCACTGGATAAATACAGGAGTGCAGACTACAAGTTTTTAAAGTTTGTGGCGAGGCAAAGAGGCAGATAAACCCTGCATTATTTATGTATGAAGTGAGGATGCTCAGTTTGCCTACATCTGTGTCCCAATTATTTCCAGTGCAGGAGAAAGAAAACCATACCACAACCATTCAAATATGATGCAAATGCATCTTAGGAATGTTTCCTGCACAGAGTATCCTTTACAGTGCTTCTAAACATAGGTATAGGTTTCCTTTGTTTCTTTCCACTACAGTATGAATCTAAGCAGTTCATCAAAGCTGTGCTGTACAAGTTTTTGCAGCAGACAGCCTTTAGGAGGTGCCATCAAAGGTGTCTTTTTCATTTTGAATGCAGCTGCACGGTGCAAAAGATGCAGAATGTCTGTTGTTATGAAAATCAACTCAGCTCAACAAATGACCTCTAATTAATTTTTTGCTCCCATTCCTCAAATATGTCATTTTGTTTGGAGTAAAGTTCAGTATGGCAGCTCTTCAATTCCTTTGCACTTCCCTGTCATCTCAAATCTTTGACACTTTGCCCAGCCACTACTATAAAAGCACAGCTTTACTGACATCATATATTGCTTATTACAAGTAATGGCAGAGTGTCTGACTCTTTCCTCTCACTACATTTTAATCTGGATTATTGTTACAACAAAAGCTTAGTGCACCCAAGAACCTCCAGTCAGGGAACCTCAGCATGAACTCTGTGTACAGTACCCAATCATATACAAGTTAAAGCATGGAGAGATTAACACCACTAAAACCAAATGGCTAATAGTCCCCGTAAAGCATTTACTGGGTTTATACAAGAGCAAATCACCTGACCTTAGAAGAAAATCCTACATATGAACTTTTACATGTACCTAATGACACTAGCTGTGAATAAACTGCTAACGTTTATTCTTTTATACAGAAACAGGGAAAAGAAAGCACATTTTAAGTTTTTCTTGAACTGAAAACTGAAATAAGCCCAGCTCACAGTAATGTTGATATAACCCCACCATGAAATGATTTCAAAGCCCTCTGAAACCAGTGCTGGGAAGGGACTCCCTTACCAAATCAATGCCCAAAAAGTTTTGTGGTATTAATCAGGATGTTGAACTGGGGTGAACTCACATCTCTTTCACAGGACAAGGGAACTGTGCTCAACAACAGGGACACTTGTGCTTCTGAGAAATTCAGAAATCCCAGCTCCTGTTACTGGTTATACCGTAGGTTCTACTGACAGCTCCCTTCATGGTGACTCATGAAGTTTCATGACCTGAGTTTCAGGTACTCTCTCACAAACTCCAAAGTTCAGCTATTTCCCATCCCATTTTGCTGCATTTTTGTTATGCCCACTCATGCCTCACGCCTTTCCCACAAGGACACACTCCTCCTCACACTGAAATTCAGAGTTATCTGCTTTGAAAGTGCCTTATGCAAACCAGTGCTGGATGCTGGCACTGCTTCTTCAGGACTTTGATTGACCCCCAAAGTGCTCAGGACTGTAAGAGTCACCAACTGATGAATAAATCCAGACAATTTTAGGGGACCCCACAGACTGCTGGGTAATTATTCAAGCTGAAAAGAGATATAAAATTTAATTTTACCACAGTACAATCTGTAAGAGTCACTACCTGATGAATAAACCCTGATAATTTTAGGGGACCCCACAGACTGCTGGGTAAGTATTCAAGCTGAAAAGAGATATAAAAATTTAAATTTACCACAGTACAAGATTGCTATGGTTTATCAATAAAAGAATGGCACTATTACAATTGAATTTATCCCCAGAAGTTTTGGGTAAAATAACATTCAGAAACATTACAGTGTGATTTCTCAAGATTAAGATAGAATTCTTACACAAGCCTTGATATGCTGATCTGTGGTCATATGCAAATGGCATTTCCCCTTCTAATCTCCTCTCTGCCCCCCGGGATTCCGTGGTGTTGGGAAATCCCATTCTCAGAACAACTCTCGTTTCTCTTCCGTCTCAAGCCTCTTCTACAGAAAAATTCTTCTCTAACCACTAAGCTTAAGAGCACCGCTCCCTGCCAGGCAAGAGGAAATCCCACCAGGCTTTTGCAATGCAGTATGTTTAACTAGGAAAATAAGTTATCTAAAGATTGCAAACAAAAAAACCTCTGACTTGTTGGAAGAAATTTAAGACTTACTGTCTTCTGCACTGATGCTTGCAATTCCTGTAAATTGATAATCCCTTCCTAAATAGGCTTGACAAGTTGGTAACTAACCCTCCTTCAGAAAATATGGGCACTGAGGCAATACACACCATTTATGCTTTGGAAAAGAAATTCTTTAATGATTATTTTTCACATTGTTGTCATCAGGATGACTTGTGAAAATGCACTCCTTTGTAAAATAACACTTTAAAAATATACTTGGAATGCTGAATATGTGTACATGATTGAAACCTGTTTGCAGCAACCAGGCAGCTTTGGGTTATAAGGCAGGTGTAACTCCATCTTTAAGGGTAGCAATCATACTCCAGTAATCTTTATTGGGAAGTGAACACATCCAATATTGCACATGTGTGTTTTGTCAGTAACTATTACAATGTTTAACCATGCTGATGAGGGCAGCATTTGGGGAGTGCAGTTTCTTAGCCCATGGGCACTGAGGCAATACACACCATTTATTCCTTGGAAAAGAAATTCTTTAATTATTATTTTTCACATTGTTGTCATCAGGATGACTTGTGAAAATGCGTTCCTTTGTAAAATAACACTTTAAAATATATATTTGGAATGCTGAGTATGTGTACACGATTGAAACCTGTTTGTAGCAGCCAGGCAGCTGTGAGTTATAAGGCAGGTGAAACTCCATCTTTAAAGATAGCAATCATACTCCAGTAATCTTTATTGAGAAGTGAACAACATCCAATATTGCACATGTGCGTTTTGTCAGTAACTATTACAATGTTGAACCATGCTGATGAGGGCAGCACTTGGGGAGTGCAGTTTCTTAGCCAAATTTTCACATGATTATGTGGTTTCCCAGTAGTTATTCACTTGCAGTTTCACTCAGAGGAGAAGGAAATACTCTGTGGCACACAAAATTCTTCCCAGGGCCTTGTTCCTGTGCCATGCATGCTTCCACTGTGAGGCTTGTCAACATCAGTCCTTTTCTTCCTGTCAGCAGGGGAAACCCAGGAAAGAAAAACTGAATTAAGTGCCTTAAAACACTGAAGTGTCATGTGATCACTGCGACATAATTCCCAGCTGGACCTGTGCCCACTGTGCCACTCTGCTCTGTCTCCCTCCCCATCTCCTCCAGCACAGCCACAGAGCATGCACCCCCCTCACAGGTTGCTCTTTTTTGACCTACTTCTTTCTCCAGCTATACTAGATGTTGTGATATAGTAGATTAGCTTTATTTTCAAACATTCGGTGTTATTTTATAGTTTGTCAGTCTCTTAATTTTAAAGCCATAATGCATGCAAAAATTAAACCCTTCAGAACTTTCTCAGTGTTAACAGCTCAAGTTTCTATTTCTCTAGAAGTACCATTTATTAGCAGGACAGCACATGGTAAAGAGTCCATCAGGTCAACAATTTCCTTACCAGCAGGTGCCTCCACCTGTGCCTTCAAATTTATAGTTTTGTCCTTACCAGAATCAAGGTGCAAATGCTAAGATTGCACAGAGCTCTCCTGAGCTGGCCCTGCCACACTCAAGTGAATCTGAAGGGCACCAGGTGGAGGAAAGACCGTCTGAAAGAATGAGAAAATGGGAAAGTTGTGACAATGACACATGGAGTACCAAAAATAACAAAAGGAGACACAGAGAGCATGGTCAGGACCACAGAAGTCAAGAAATAGACACGCTAATACAGGATTAATTTAAATTTTTTTATTTGTTTCTTGGTTTTGGTTTTTTTGGGTTGGTCTGGGGTTTTGGTTGTTTGTTTGTTTGTTTTGGGGGTTTTTTGTGGGTTTTTTTTCTGGTTTTTTGTTTGTTTGTTTGGTTTTTTAGTTATTTAGGTTTTTTTCACGTGACAGAAATTTTCAGATCTTTGAACTTTATCAAAAAAAAGGAATGTTCAAGATTCACACTGTTTTTGAAATATGTTATGCATACAATAGCTACAGAACCACAGAACACGCTGAGCTGAAAGGGACCCATGAGGACAATGGAGTCCAACTCCCTGCCTTGCACAGGACCATCCCTGTGCCTGAGGGCATTGTCCAAACGCTCTTTGAAGCCGGTCAGCCTTAGTGCTGTGCCCTGTGAGCCTCTTCCAGAGCTCAGACAGCCTCACCAGAAGTACCTTTTCCTGACATCCAGCCTAAACCTCCCCAGGCTCCTGTCGCAGGCTCCCTCAGCAGGTGCCGGCGAACAGGGCGGGCCCGGCGGGAGCGGCCCGGGGAGGCTGAGGGGAGGCAGCTGCAGCAGCACCGCCCTTCCCTGTTCTTCCCTCTCCTTCCCTGTCCTTCCCTCCCCCGGCGGGTGCTGCTGGAGCTGTGCCCGCCGCCCAAGGCTCCTGGCTGCGAGCCGCTGGGTCCCGGCACGGAGGTGTCGGGGCCGGGGAGGAGGGCGGCGGAGGGAGGAGGGCTCCGGGCGGCTGCGGGGCCCCGAGCGGTGCCCGCTTCCTCCCACGGTCTCCCGAAACCCGCCGGGTTCCGGTTTGGGTGCTTGCTAGTCTTGCCCCTGGGGATATGTCCTTTGCGTGGATAAAGAAGGAATAATCCTCAGGCGGCGGACAGGAGCGGGTTTAAGCAGGGAATGGGCACGGATGTTCCTCCGCAGCCAAGCTCGCCGTGCTGTGAGGGCGGGTGGGTGCAGGAGCGGGTCCCTTTGCCAGGGCAGGGGGACATACATCTTTATCGCCTGTTTGCAGTCATTTGCCGCGTTATCGTGCAGCCATTCGGCATTTTACTGAAAGCAGGACAGAAATTATTGCGGGAAACGACAGAGGAGCTCCGGTTGTGTCGGTGGGTGTTTCACGGCACCTGCTGGAAAAGGCTGCAACTGCGTCCTGGGGCTGGGATTGTTTTAGGGAGGAATAATGGTTTTATGTCCCAGTGACCGAGGGACAGAATTCACTCCCTGGCTGTGCTGCAGCCGCTCCTGGGCGGGTCGGGCACTAGGGGAGAGTTCCTGATTGTTTGCCTCTTTACTCTTATCTCCAGCGCCTTATGAAACTGGCAGCAGTGCACAAGCCTCATGCTCGTGTATGTGCATATGGCACATGATAGTAGTGCTTTGTTTCTTAGGGTGTCCTGAAAGGACCCTGCTGTTCTTTAAGTATTAGCTGTTGATAACTTCCAATACCTATAGTAGCAAAGAGGGGGGAGAAAAAGCCCCAAACCCTGCAGGATTTTGACTGTCAAAGATTGAAGGAAGCCAGTTAGCATCTGTTCATTCAGGAGGCTGTAGAGCTCTCTCATTCTTCATGCCTTTTTCTGGAGTGTACTGGTGGGAGACTGGTGGGAGACAGGCAAAAAAAAAAAAACCCAAAAAAACAAAAAACAGGGAAAAAAAACAAAAAAAAAAAGTTTGTGTAGGTTTAGGTCTTTTGATAGCTCAGAACTAAATATCTTCTAAAGCTAGGTGTTTACTAAATAAGAAAAAAAAACACCGACAAGAACATCGGTCTTTCAAGTATCATTGATACTTTTTCCGTTGTTTGTTTTTAAACAGAAGTGCAACACTGAAGAGAATGCTTCTTTCTTCAGTAAATTAACATATTCCTGGTTTGGCGGGTGAGAATTTATTAAACTGGTTTTTGCTGTTCATTGGTGCTCACAGAATTGTAGACTGTGCTCTTAGATTCCACAGTGTCTCAGGCTTGAGCCTGACCTTGAGAGTGCTGTTAGCCTTTTGCACAAAAATCAAAGTTTGCAACATTTAGAGATCACATTCAACAATTTGGTGGGGGATTGTTAATACATAGTAAGAGTCATTTTATACATTAACTATGGCATTATTTAACAATGACAATATAACAACTTTCTAAATCTCTCTGGACTTGTCTGTTTCCCTGTGTCTTTTCTTTGCATCTGTATTTCAAGTAGAGAAGTCTGTTACCAGTTTGCTATCCATCATCACTATGATAATTAAGACAGCCTCTGGTTTTGTTGTGGTTTTTTTTGAGCCTTGTAAAGAACCTTCACAATTGTTTGAGCAAAATTCAAACTAAAATAATAAGTTGCTTGACAACTGAAAAAAGTACTCTGAAATAATAGAAGGGCTATTCAGCCTTAAATATAAAGTTGCTGCAAGCCTGCTATAAATGAGAATGCATTTATATTGAAGCTTATCTCTGTTTATTCAGATACTTTTTTCTTGACCTGTGATAATAATTTGAGGATTAAAGTATATTGTAATTATATTCACGGATGATAGGGGCAACCCTAGGAATTGCACTTATCCTTTCCCGAATAACTATTAGCTTGGCCAAATAAAACCAGACATAATTTCTTACTACAAAGTTTTTCTTTTGTCTGTAGGAAATTTTATTTTTTAGATTAAACTGATGGCTTTAGATGGACACTCTAATATTGCATATTTTGTACTGTAAACGTGGGTGAAGTTTAAATTTTTTTTTTCTCTGAATAATCTCTATATTTTTGTAATCTTGCAGGCTTCTTGCATCCAGAGAGTGCTATTTAAGAAAACAAGTTTTCCTCGAAACATCTTTGATTTTGCCATTATGGCAAACATTTAAGTATTTATTGATTAAAGTTTAATTTCTGAAAGTTACAGGTGACATTCTGGCTTTTATGAGTCCACAAGTAATGAAGTAAGTTTTTAATGTGTTTCATTTTTTGTTCAAAGAGCAGTATTAATAATAAAGCTAAAAGGTTATCAGTTCCTAATCCTCCATCCACATGATTATTTGCAAACAAGTGAAGGAAAACTCAAAGAGATGAAGAATTTCATAATTAAAAGACTGAGACAAAATTACTAAAAGTTCTACAGTATTGTTTTAAGTATTAAATATACAAAGATAAAATCAAAGTGCTAAGAAAAACAGACTAAAAAAGATAACTTTCATTTCATTTTGTCAATTTTTTCCATCCCTACTTTTAAAAAAGTCACATAAATATATAATATTTAATGACATTTCATTAATGAAATTTCAAATGAAGTTACTCTGTTCTTGTGTTCTAGTACCATGGTGTTGACAGAAATAGTTTTTAGAAATTGTACTTACCACAGGTGTGTTGAGATGATCAAATACTTGAGTGTTTATAAAGAAAAGAGTTAATGAACAGAATTATTACCTCCAAAATATGCTCTGAATCAATGTAAACCTGATAAAAATAGTTAACTATAAAATTTGTTTGAAGACATCACGGCTTATTTAAGATGGTTATTTAAGATTATGTTTTATTAACACAAAAAGTCAGAATTTTCCTTTAGATTTTTTTCTCTTCTCTAGATTTTTCTTTTTCCTTATCTTCTGTGGCTGGTAGTTACAATGTTTTTAAGTCCAAATACCTAATTTTAAAAAATATTTCTTTTATAAAATCTTTTTTTTTTTTTACTCTTTATTCATACTCCTTTGTCAGAGAAGTCAGCAATAGCACATTCATGTTGAGATTTGTATTTGAGAATTGTGAGGGGTTGGAAAACACAGATAAAACCTACCATTTTTAACATCATAATTTTTTGTGATCAAAAAATTTTGATGGATCTTTGGCCATATCCATATCCAAAATAGATTCAATTAAAAAAGTTTCCACTGTCTTAGTTTGTGAAATGTTTGTTGTTGGCTGTTGATTTAATGGATGGAATTTAAAATTAATTTTTTCTTTTCTTTTCAGATCAATGATTGTGGCAGTGAAACCCAGCCTAGTTTGTGTGGGAGTGGCTGTGGCTATACTATTGCCCAGTTTTTGTGGTTCTTTCACAAACTCTTCTCCATCAGTTATACCATCGGAACAACGTTCTTACAGCAGTCAAAATCAAGACCGCAGTTGTTGGCCTGGTCTACAAAAGAGTAGTCATGTCAGCATTCCTGAAGGCTCTTTAGTTGCTGTTGTGGAACAGGTTGGATCTGGAAAGTCATCTTTTCTTTCTGCTATTCTTGGAGAAATGGAGAAACTTGAAGGAATGGTTCAGAGTAGAATAAGATTGTCCGTCTTCCCCTGCCCTTTCCACTCCTCAATACTCCAGTTAAGCAGAACTAATGAACAGATATTCAGAGGGCATATAGGTTAATGTAAAAAAAAATATTTAAAAGCACTTTGTTCCTATCCTGTAATCTTAAATTCTAAAGCTGACACATTCCACATTTTATGTATAAATACAGACCATCAAACGGTGTTTTGATGTCTAATAAGACCCAGTTTCCTGCATATAGATATTACAATGGATGCCTGTTTGTCACTATGATCTTTCCCTGGAAGACTTTGCTCCATATATGTCCCAGCTCTGTCAGTTTTATTCAGTCATATGTGTTTTTTTATAGGAAAGCTGTTACAGTGTAATATGCAGCAGATTGTTTCTATTACCTGACTTAATAAAAATTTTAACAACACTCAGATCATTGATGACAAATTTTAATGGTGCTCAGGTTTTGGAAGGAATTACTGGTTTTACTTTGAGGCAAAGCTGGAATTTCAAATTTATTTTTAAATTATGTTTTATGTGTTCAGAAAGCCCAAATAAAACAAAATTGTTTCCAGTTCTTTTTAGGGTTCTGTGGCATATGTTTCTCAGCAGGCCTGGATTTGAAATGACAGTTCACAGGAAAATATTCTCTTTGGTTCCAATGGTTTGGTTCTAAACAGGCCATACTACAGACTTGTTTTAGAGTCTTGTGCTTTACTGCCAGATTTGGAACAGTTACTGAATGGAGACCAAAAAGAGATTGGAGAAAGGGTGAGAATTTGAGGTGTCATAAATTAAACAGTAAGATAAGTTATGGATTCTGTGGTTTTATGATTACCTATTTGATAATTAACGTGATGACTAATCAGTGTTCAGCCAAGTACATCCTGCCCATCTCCTTGCCTTCGTTACTTACTTTGAACTTAAATTCTGTTCAAGTTCTGAACTCTTAAAAAGTTTGGAAGTGGCTTTTTTCTGTATAGAATTTTGTGTCTGCCCTTTCCTGTTCTCCAGGAGTTTCTTCTATAGTATAAAAATGCCTGTATAATTGTAAATAAAAAATACTTTTTAGTTTTACAAAGTAACCTTGCAGTTACCCATTTGGAGTGGGAATAATCAACAGAGCCAAATTTTTGTCAAGACTGAGTATAATACACAGGTCTTTAGTATTTCCTATTTAAATGTGGATTGTTGTGGCTTCCTTTCCTTAGGGTGTCAATGTAAGTGGAGGGCAGAAGCAGAGAGTGAGCCTTGCTAGAGCTGTGTGCAGCAAGGCTGACTTGCATCTCCTGGATGACCCTCTCCTGCTGTACATGTACATGTTGGAAACCATCTTTTTGAGAAGATAATTGAAGCTAACCCTTCAGCTCTCCTAAAAATCAAGGTAATGTAGGATGTCTTCCTTTCAAATTCCATGAACTGCTTTGTACAAAAGCATTCTACAAAAGCTCATCTCTTACCAACAGATTGTTGATGACATTTCTGAATAAAGAGGCTAAACAAAAAGCAGTACAGGGGTACAGCCAGTACAGGATACAGAAGGAAAGGGTTCTTGTTGAACAAAGAAGTTCCTACAGGAAAGTGGAATCTGGAGGAGTAAATTCTCCAATTTAAAAACCATTCATGTGGGAAGGTAAAATTTGTCAAAATCTCAGTGGTGTGAGTACAGATTATTCCCACTGCTGCCTGCAAAACACATGTATTAACATGAACTACCTACTACTGGGTCAGCATTACTGACTTCACAATTGTCTTTTCCTCTCTCCCTTCCCTGTTCTTAACTGACCTGCTCCATGGCTTATAAGTATCTGGCAGAAGCAAGAACTCCAGTGATAGTAGACGTGATGGTAGACTTGGAAGCAGATTTTAATACTGAGACTATTAAACTTAATGTAGTGTAGTAAAAGCTGGAATATCTAATTCTTTAAACCTATTCTAAGCCATTCCTGAGCAGGAAACAGGTGGAAAACATTTAACATTAAGGAACAGGTAAGTACAAGTAATAGCAAGTGGTGCCAGGTTAGGGCTGGTGAACATCAGGCATGGGATCAAGGAACACCAGTTGAGACCTATTTTAAGCCATTGCTTTGAGCTTAGGAGTGCTGGATAAAGGGGAGAGGAAATGGGAAGGATTCTCACTGAACCAGGCATGAGCTGTATATCTTCTGAGAGAACTGGACTGGGAGCTGTGAAACTGAATTCACTCTATCCTATAATTCCCTATATCTATATGACTTTTCATTTAGAATGTGTGGCGTGGAAAGTTACAGTCTCTATCATAAAACTTTCTGCATCAGGCTGGAATTGTTGGAAGAACAGGAGCTGGAAAATCAACACTCACAAATTCCTTATTTAGATTCTTGGAGGGATGTGAAGGCAAAATAATTACTGATGGAATTGATATATCAACTATTGGACTCCTTGACCTAAGTGGAAATCTTAACATCATTCCACAGGTGAGGCGTGGTTGAGAGACAACTATTTATTCTTTTTTTACTAACATAAGACATTGGATTTTTAGGGGAAATTATAACCTCTAAGTCCACAGGCTGCCAAGAGACAGAGGTACCAGTGGAATTTTGGCAATTAAATGGAAGAAACTTCAAAACATGGGGACCACAAATATGACATTAAGTTTTTTATGTTGTGTTTAGTTTAACAGTCTTAGCTAGAATAGCTACATATGGTGTTTTCAAAATCCACCTGAGGACTTTTTAACTAGGTTCAACTATGTTTGAAGCCTGTAGGGAATAAAGTGGTGTATACACGAGTTATATATTATGTATTTAAACCAATCTGCTGTGATCTGTCATGTAGAGCTTACTTTTTACTTCAGAAGAGGGTGGGAAACTCAAGATTAGGTTATATATTATTAGGATTGTCTTCAGGTGGTATATGTTGAAATGCTCCAGTATAAAGTAAAACCTAGGACACAAATTGAATGGTCACCTGAAGTCTTTGCACATTCCCTGAATGCCATTCATACAAACATTTTTGTGAATGGATGATGTTAGCAGTGATTGCAATTAATTTATCTGACGTTTTTCAAAGGGAGGCTTTGGTTTTTTCCTAGCCTTTTAGGAGCCTTAACCTTGGTAATATTTCCTGTGTGTATCTACCCACAGACCATGCGTAGAGATGATTCCAATATTTACACCAAAACAGATTGAGTCTTTCCAAGAAAGAGATGATTAAAAGAAAATACCTAAAGATTCCTGCAAATTCTTGGCTGCTTTTCCTTTGAGAACTGTACTTTGTTAGGGGAATGGCAAATTCACCATTTTTAATCACAATTTATAATTTTGATATAGTTTTTTGATGTAACTGTATTCTCAAAATGAGAATACAAGACCAAAATTGATTATTCCAAAGGTCTTCAGAACACGATTCATACACATTTGGTTGTAACATCTGTCTTGTTTTAAGCAGGTAATGCTCTAGAAATCTGAACAACATCTGACAGTTGTGAATTACACAGTATTTTCTCAACAGTTGCAAGTCTAATTTACTGTGGATGGAGTTTATCGGATCCACATCCAGAAAACTGAACTGAGAGGAACCCAATAGTGCAGTGACCTTACAGGCTGGGTTCAGAATAGAACTGAAAGGTGAAAAAAGGGAGTCTGAAGCTTGTGAAGAGTAGGTGCACTCTGGAGTGTTGAACTGCATAGGTCAGGAGAGTGGATGAAGGTAAAAATCTGGGACAGAAACAAGGGCATGGCAAATACCAAAGCTGACTCTGTGCACGTAGCTTCTTCAGGTCAGCCAAATACACCTCATACAAACAGCTTTTAAGAATCACATTAAAGTACAACAAAATAATTTAATGTTGTTCCAGTGCAAGTAAAATGAAGTTTAAATGAAGAACAGGCACAAGGTCTGCTACCACTTCAACTGCCCTGTTTGGTCACTGAGCTCCCTCAAAACTGTCACTGTTCTGTTTGCATGTGACTGTTGTTGGCCTCTTATGCCTGGGTCACGCCACTGTGACTGCATGTGGTCAAGGTGTCTGTTCACCATCTCTAGGAGCATTAGTTCAATCTATAAATCTCTGCAAGTATTCTTGTTGCTGAATATGTTATCTTTCTTAAAGAAAATTAAGGATATTTAACTTAGAGTCAGCCTTTTAATTTTTCTTATCAGTGTTCATGAATGTAGTCTCAAGTGCTTCACAAACCTTAATAATAATTCATGTGCTGTGGCAGTTGCCAGGTGCTGGGCAGGTCTTTAGTCAGCCACAAAACCAGAGTACAGAGAATGCACAAGAAATCTCTTGCCCTTTATGTTTCACCTTAATGAAGAACTTAGCTCACAGAGACTGCACACAATTTTTGTCCTCCATTCACCAGCTTCAAACTGTTAAAATTTCCCTTGCAAAGATCCATTCCCAAGATTATTTGTCTCAGTTCCTTCTATTAATGTAAGGATTTATGACAGCTCATTTTAGGATCATGTCAGAATTGTTTAATCACATTCTGCTGCTATTTGGGACCCCATCTTGTTTTCTGGGACAGTGCAGTCAAATCTGGATCCACTTGGAAAACACTCTGATCTTGAACTGTGGGAGATGCTGGAATTATGTGACTTAAAGGATTTTGTCCACTCTCTGCCAAAGAAGCTCCCCCATGAGATTTCAGAAGGTGGTGAAAATCTCAGGTACATAATCAAGTGCTAATGTCGTTATTTTCCAGTACTGTAAAACTATGTGGTCCTTCCAAGGAATTTACTTCAAAATCTATCAGGATGGAAATGACACCTCTCCTGTCATTCTCAGTAGAACTATTCTGGTAGTGCAAATTTCTTTGAGGTGACCAACTGGTCACAGTGGTATAAATTCTGATGGCCTGTGCCATCAGAAGCAAAGGGAACAGACTATTTTCAGCTCAAGTGTATAAGTAAGTGTGAAGAAGGGGGGTGTGGTGTTGCAACTCATGCAGCACCTCGTTAAATTTTGGTAGAAAAGAGCTTATTTATTTAAACTTAAAAAAATAAATCAAACCAGAAAAAAAACACCAACAAAAAACAATGAATAAAAAAAAACCCAGCAAATTCGAAACCCACCAAAATGCAGAGAGCTTATTCTTTTGTTCTGTTTGCTTAAGCAAAACAACTCAGTTTTAACTTTGAAACATTAACCCATAGTTATGTAAGGAGGGTGACACTTGAAATAAAAGTACTCTAAACTGAGGAGACAAATATTGAAGCTTTCAGCAGCAAAGGGACAGGTCTTAAATAGTGTACTGAGTATAAACCTGAATTTTTCAGACAGATAATTTTCAGGAAGACATTTCTGGAAGATGCATACTACAGCTAACATGTAGAAGTATCCCAACTGTTACACTGAACATTATTAAAAAGTGGTTCAGCATTCAATTTGGTTCAATCTGAGTGCCCACTATAATGTGAACATAAAACTGAAGACTGGGTTTAAGATTCAAAGTTCAGCCATGGGTGTTGAAGAGTCCTACCTTAACTACTATTGATATGCTGAGGAAGAAGAAACAAAATTCCAAAGCAGGATGAACATATTTCAGTAGTCTTTTTAGAAGCATAAAGTATTGTTAGGAAAGAAGTACAGACATGCTCCACGGTAATCTCAGCTTTATCTTGTTCTCTCTTTCCTTTGTGTGCCTGACTTGCCCTTCTCAAATGTATTTTTAACAGTGCTGGGCAGAGACAGCTGGTCTGTCTGGCCTGTGCTTTACTATGGAAGACAAAAATCTGGTTCTAGATGAGGTGACAGCTTCTGTTGACATGGAAACAGATAACTTTGTGCAGTCCACCATCAAAGGAGTGTTTCACAACTGTACGGTGTTAACTACAGCCCACGGGTTACACAAGTTTTATACACAAGTATAAAACTTGCCATGGATTCAGAGGCAAGTTTTGATAAGCCATTTGAAAAATAAATTACTTCCTTGAAATACATTCCCATAATCCAGAGATATCTGTACTGAGACTGGAAAATGTAGTTGAAGAGCTGATTTTTCTTCTGTAATCTTTCTGCTCTTGTATTGTAGTGCTTGTTCTGGATGCATGAAGGATTCTAGAATATGATACACCACAGACTCTGTTACAGTGAAAAAGTGCCTTTTCTGAAATGGTTGCAGAGGCCAGGATAAGAAGGTAAAGAAAACTTCTAAGTGAATTCTGAGGGAACACTCAAAGGATCTCTGTCATTCCATATATATAGGTGCAATATTTTATATTCCATATAAAACAACTGACTTACTCAAGAGCTCCTTGCAGCATTGCTGTTAACTACAGCTGCAATCTGTATATATTGATCAGGTTTCTTAAAATTCAGATTTTATACAAATCACTTGTTTTCATCATACTGGCACTGGGACAACAGAACGAAACAGGGATTTTCACGGCATATGTTAAAACTGTTGCATTAGTAAAGACTGAAAAATAAATCTTGCTGTTGACGTGCTGGTCTTAACTTCAACTACGTTTCTCTGACATTATGCTCATTTAGTTACTATTTCTTATTATGATTACACATTTAAGGAAAAAACAAAACTACTTGTTGTGTGGACACAGAGACATGTCACTTGGGGCTAATTTTTAGGATTTACACATCCTCCCAGGTACACTTAGGTAGTTCTTGAGGCAGTAAATGTGCCCCGTTAAGTCAGTTTTCCTTTTGTGATTGCTGAAAAACTGAAAACCACATCTTACATATCTGATTGAGCATTACAAAATCTCATTGTGAAAGAATCCCAAAAGATGCAGTCAGGTGGAGCTGCCTCTTTGCTGGTAAATATTAATGTAAACCTCCATACTAATTACAGAAGCAGGGCAGGTTATGTACACTTACTTGAAGTGTCAGCTAAATGAATCTGCCTCTGTCGGCCACATAAATAGTCATTTCCATTTTTATTGCAGTTCCTGAAGCTCTTGAAATTTGATACCAACATGTAATCAATCTTAAGATAAGATCCCCATCAACTCCTTTAAAAAACCCAATAAACTGAATAAAGTTCCTGGGTACAGCCCTGTTAAATTAGTTTAATACTGACACCTGGCGTATCAAGTACAATCTTAATTTCTTGCCCAAGAGAAAGTTTTGGGCATGTAGGCTAGGGGAAGTAGCCATCAGTACCTCAGGAACCAATCCCTTTTGCAAGGTCTAGAGAAAACAGTAAGAGAGGCATCAGTGCATGGTGATTTTTACTTCATTTACTTTAATTTGTGGGGAGAGCTTTCTGTGCTTACTGCCAGGCTGACATAACCTTTCACTTCCAGCTAGCTTCAGAATGCAGCTGGGAGAGCTGCAGACTGAGCAATGGCAAAGCCTGAGAGAATAGAAAATGCTGAACTAGTGTCAGCAAAGCCATTCCTTCTCTTCCAGCATGCTGTACCCCTCATATTGGACTATAACTTCTGAAAAGAGGGTGCAGTGGAGGCAGAAGCAGCAGGAAATGCTCCTGCTGTTTCTGTGCAGCAATAGCTTACCAAAGCAAACCCCCTAACAGGCTTAGGGTGGGCAGGGAAAGGCACTTTTGCCTTAAGCACATCAGCCAGGCTCTGCAGCCTCTCCTCTCCTCACACACCTGATGTTGGAGACTCACTCCAGGAAACCAGGAAGGGCCACTTGGCTGAGTGCAGAACTGACTCAACCCACCAAACACCAGGGCAACAGCCAGGTAAGCACATCAGCCAGGCTCTGCAGCCTCTCCTCTCCTCTCCTCACACACCTGATGTTGGAGACTCACTCCAGGAAACCAGGAAGGGCCACTTGGCTGAGTGCAGAACTGACTCAACCCACCAAACACCAGGGCACCAGCCAGCACAAACAAAGCCATGTGCTAGCTCTGCAGCTTGGCACACACCCCTGACCTTCCTCCTCCAAACAGGAATTCCCTGAGCTTCCATGGTATTTGGGAATTGGGTTCCAGTCTTGTCCTGTGGGACTGCTCATAGGAAGAGTGGGACAGGCAGGGGACCAGAGCAGTCCTGAAGAATGAGGCTCATAAGGGGCCAGGACTCCATCATTCCCTCTAACAGGAAGGAGCATGGAGCAGAACCTGCTTATGCCCTGCTCCCACTTCATTCCCCACAGCACTCAAAAATCCCACATGCACCACCCTCCCAGGAGCTGCTTCCCTCAGCCCTGCCTGTTGCCTTGCTCTACACTTTCCTGTAGTATCACAGAGAAACTAGAAAGAAGTTGAGGAGGAACTCTCCCTTTCCCTCACAGGAAGAGACACGTTTCTGCTTTTTGCCAGCTTTGAAACATTTTTGAAACACTGTAATTGTTCAGGCTCTGCAGACTTCACAGTTCCCCAAGACAACGCAGATGTACAAACTCACAGCTCACACAACCTCATCTTCTACACTTCAAGGGAGTTTGAGGAAGACCGAATTTCCTTGAGAAAGTGAAAGAAGACAGATCCAAGGGATAGAAATTGCTTTTATTAAAAAAATCTAAAAGGTTATTTATAAAATGCATTTCATCATCTGCACTGGGATACAATTAGGGAACACACAATTGTTGAGGCCTCTTGATGCTTTAGGAATTTCAACTCACCAAACAAACCTTAGCTAGAGAAATTGGTTACACACCTACCACCACAGGCAATCGTAAGGATTACAGAAAGATTTCAGCCTTCAAGTATCAACTTTTTTACAGAAAGATTTTTGGTAAGCAGCTCATGTGCATACCTGGAAATATCCACTTACTGCAGTAGACTCATCTTTAAAATTTGTTTGTGCCAAAATACAGTATTAAAATATACAAAATAAATAATTCAGAAAAAATAATAAATAAGGATGCATTGTGATATCCAGTGTATAGTAACTTCTCTGCTAAAAAATCCAACCTGTATAGACCTCTGAATAAATACCCTTTTGTAGGTTTAGTTTTTACAAGTAAACAACGTGCCCTTCCCTTTCAGTTCCCAGATTAACATTGAAGGAGATTCAACTCCCCCAGGGTGAAGGAGGATGTGAAAGAAAAAAGTACTTCATTTATTTGCTTTGAGAGTTTTAACAGCTCCTACCTAACTTGTCCCAAAACTGCAAAAGCTTTTAATAGTTTAGCTTCTCTGTGATGTGGTTCTGTTTCTAGATAGGTCTGCTTGTTTTACACAGTGCATTAAAGACATGAAGACCAAAGTCCTACTGTAACTCCAGTGGATTTTGAGATGAACTTAGAGCAGGGCAGAAGGAAAGGCCACAATGACTCTGTAAAGAGTTGGTGCAGCTCTTTTATGCACACACATTTATGTCTGCAAAGCAAAGGCCCCCAGCAGCAACTGAGGACTGTACTGCATTTATCCATGGTGTCACTGAAGAGGCACTTCTTTCACTGCAGGAGTTTTACTTACTGGAAGCTCCATACAGATTTAGTTGGGGTCACTTTCAAAGAGGCACAAAGGAAAGAAAGAATCCTCAAATTAAAAAAATTCCTCGTTTTCAATGCAGGAAAATTAAGCAGATGTCAGCAGTACTTTGGGAATCCTCTGTCAAGTTAAACAATGCTGACGGAACGTCTGTGTGCAACTATGATTCAATTTAAGAGGTTTTTAATTGGATTACTTCAAAGATGCATTTAGACAATAGCTATGCAAACAGCTGAATCAGCACAATTGATTTATGGTGCCATAAATCAGGCTTCCTGCCAGAAGAGCAATAAGCCTATTTTAATATAGTCATAGGTTAAAACAATAAATCTAAGGCCTATACTTTATCTTAGCAAGGTTAATACAAAATTATTCTGGAGAAGACAAGAAAATCCTTAAAACCACCTGTTACTAGAGCTTACTTGATGAAGACTGGGCTGATGGATGTTGAAACCAGTCTCAGCTGAATGACATGTTTTTTTGGTAGGAAGCTTCAAGCAGATAACAGAATTCAGCTGGTGCTTGATTATTGCTTAATCCCTCCAAAGAGAGAACTGTCACCAATTCGGTTTTTTTTCAGATCAGTAACTTTGTTCTCCTCACAACACATTTTCAAGGTATCTGGATAGTGATCTATTTGCCTAAAAGAGTCCTAAGAAGTGCCACCTCAAACCCCAAGTTGCACACAACACTGTTTCTTTCCCAACAGGACAGCTACAATCTCTGTTCAGTTTAGAGCAGGAATATAAAAAAACTTAAAACCACATAAGAGCTAAAAAGCACAAAGTAGTTGGGTCAATTTTCATTTACTAGGGCTACAGGAATTACATTTCATCCAGGCCATCCCTTCTGTCTCACACTTTCTCCATGAGGACAGTATGGCTTGGGGTACTTCAGGGAGAGGATGTCACACACTTGTAGATGCAGAATGATGAAATTCTTGTTGGTCAAATTCAAGGGAAGACAGGCAGGTGTGGCTTCAAGATACATAAAATCACTGTAGTTTTAGAATAAGGCAGGGGCAGGTATGAATATTTGGCAATATACCCTCGTTCTCTGTAGAGAACATCAGTGGTAAAACAGCAGCACCTGTGTTTAACCATCACAGCCAGGTCAGCAATGAGGCCCTTGGAGACCAACAAACTGCACTGGCAAGAGTTACATTTTCCATAAGGTTTCCTAATCATGGGACAATTTGCCACGGAGCCTCAGCATACCATTATGCTGTTATGAACAGCAGAAGAATCAAGTGAATGCCTCAGTCTCATTTAAGCTGCAAGATGCCTTTAGGAAAGGTGCTTAAATGCTCAAATGGCTCAATATAATAAATAAGTGTGAGCTGAACACTGCCAGTGCTCTGTGCATTAACACTGCTTCACAGTCTTTCCAAGTAAATGCACGGACCCAGGAATACCTCAGTACCACATCATCTCAAACCTTTGGTCACACTCCCTTGATACTTTAAATACACACTGTTCCAGGATTTGCTAATAAAATTTAGCAAGAAAATGTGTGTGTGTCATCACTGGCATTTTCATCCAATATCCCTCTCCAAGTAAACACAGCACACTTCAGAACTCGTTTGTACCTTTAAAGTAACATCAAGCTTTAGCACAGGTAGGTGTCCAGTAACACCTAATTGGAACAGGTGAAAATTGAACAGAATGAAGCTAAGATTAGGTTCCATTCCCAGTCAGATAAGTATGGATCCTTTTGGAGAGCTGGAATGCAATTGAGAAGAGTTTCTTTTCAGTTAAAATTAGTCTTCCGTAAATGTTTGTTAGGGATTTCTATAGCACTGACTTGGAGGGGCCAGGACCCAGCAAGAATTCCTGCTTGGATGGCTACGCCCGTCACAACTGCCAGGTCGGGATCCACCGAGGTGTTGGGTTCCTTTCCAAAGAAGTCCCGAATAACTTCACGTATTTTGGGAATCCGTGTGGAGCCTCCAACTAAGACAATTTCATCCACTTCTGCTTTGTGCAGGTGCCCTTCCTGCAGCACCTGTTCAATGGGCACAAGAATCTTCTCAAAAAGATCTGCATTTAACATCTCAAACAGCTTCCGAGAGATTTCTGTTTCAAACACAACTTCCACAAAGTTATCCTCTGCTTTGGAAGTGTCTCCAGGATTTTTCAGGCCTTTTGTGTTTTGTGAGGCCTCACCCTTTAGTGCACTGCTTGTTTTTACCTGGCTTTTTGCAAGTTCTCTTGTAAGCTCGTTTGCTGGCAGAGTCAACAGCACCCTCAGTGTGGCTGCCTCGTGGACAGTCAGGTTTAATTTAACAGCTTCCACGGCCTGTCTGAGGCGGTGAATGTCCTCTTTCTGTGCTGGCAGAGAACCGTACGTTTGACGGAGCTGATCATATAAATACACCATCAACCTCTGATTGAAATCCTGTCCTCCGAGTTTGTTGTTACCTGAAAGATCAGAACAGAAGGCATCAGACAGAGCACCTTCAAAGCCCCAGAAAGCAGCACCCTGCTTCTCTTTCACTGAGAAATGGTGCTCAAGGGCAAGAACAATCACAGAAGAACACAAGTACATGACCTCACAGAGCTGTGACAATAGACAAAATTATTGTCCACTGCATACATGATGGATAATTTCCACTGTTTTGTTTTGACTAAAAACAGTAACTCACTTAGTGGACCTCTGTCTAACTAAATCAGAGTGAAGCTGCTGAATCTGTCTTGCTGTTCCAGTCTAACTGGACTGAGCAGCAGCAGCAGCAGCTCACATCAGAACTTGCTTGCTGAAGGCAACACAAGCAGCTGGCACTGCACCTCAGAGCTGTGTGCATGCAGGCCAGCTGAAGCATGGCTGTCTCTTCACCAGTGTGACCAAACACAGAGCTCTGTGCCTGGGGATGAACCATTCCTACACCAATCACAAAACTTCGGGGTTAACGGTCTGCGCATTCCCAAACCCTGCTCAGCTCAACTGGCACCAACCACAAAGCAAGGACACACCAAAGCATGGTCAGTGATCTGCCAATACTCCCAGTTTGGGCAAAGGTGACAGAAGGATTTTAAACAATCCCAACCCCCCAAAAGTTTGGTCACAGTAAGTGTAACATGCACCAGCACTTTATTAGTGGGCACAAAAGTTAACAGACACAGATAAAATGAAACCACAACTTACCCTCTGGGTCAGCCTAAACCTATGACTCTGTGGTCTTAATTGCTGAAACCGGCCACAAACCTAATTCTGCATGAAAATCAGCTGAGAGTGCATTGGGAAAACACTCTGTGACATGGCTGGTATGTTTTAAAGTCCCTCCGACAGTGACTTCAGGTGCACCTTGCCTCCCACTCCTTGAGAAACAAAAGCATTTTTCTCACCTGCCATGGCTCGTGTGATGAACATCCCTCCCATCTTGTTCAACAGAGACACGTCCAAAGTTCCTCCACCCAAATCCACCACCAGAACGTTAAACACATCAGCTTTGTGCAGCCCATAAGCCATAGCAGCAGCTGTGGGCTCGTTGATTACTCGCAAAACGTTGAGCCCTATGAAGAGCAGAGACAACAAGGAACACTCAGATACACTCAGAAAACTGCAGTTCTTACATCAGAATGTACATTTGCCATTACTTGTTGGGGCTTTTTTTAACCATACTCAAGTGTCAGATCTAAAGGAAGTATTTTCCTAAGCAGTAATATCCAATGAACTCTTTTCCTTATTTAATCCTAAAATAGTACTGCTTCAGGGCGAAATCATGAACCACAATGGGCCCAAACACACTGCTTCCAGAGAAACCTGCTAAGATTTATTTGCATGCATCCTATTTCTGTTTAAATGATTGTCCAAGGGTGCTCTATATAGTCTCCCTATTTGGAGATTATAAAAAAGACTATTTTCCCTGAAGTAAAGCTTACTTCCAGCCATCCATGTCTGCATTAGTCAGGCGCACCTGTTGGTACTCAGAAGTTCTCAGCTGTTCCTCACAATAAATCCATTCTAAGCTTCTCTATCACTGATTCACAGTTTCTATATCCTCCACAAAGACCTTACTGTTAGTGAAACAGACCTCAAGCTCTCCAAGAAAAACTCTGGAGTAGAGAGACATCACCTGCAAGGTTAGCTGCCTTAATGGTAGAATTCCGCTGCCTTTCATCAAACTCTGCTGGCACGGAGATGACTGCCTTGGAAATGGACGTGCCAAGGTTGGCTTCTGCCATTTGCTTCAGTTTCAGCAGCAGCTTAGAGCCAATGCCCTCTGGAGTGATGTGAAAGGTTTCATTAGTTGTCACAGAAAATTCAGCTAATCCATTCTTGTTGACAATCTAGAAGGACAAAGCGACACAACCCCCAAGTGAGAAATCCTCCTACGCTCCCCCACCCTGTTCCCACCAAATACTTTATTTGCATGTAATCTCTTTATTCTGGAAAAGTTTAAATGTGCTTTTGCCATTTCTGGGCCACTTTTATTCCTTGATTAGGGGGATTATGCAAAACATGCCACTTAAGGGGTGAAAGTATATCCAAACAAATGACACCCACTATGCCCCAGTAAAACACATTAAAAAAAGTTAAGACCTAGAAACAGTGGAGTAACTTCCAACACCACATTCAAAGACAGAAGGGATGTTTTTTTAATCATTAGGTTACCTTTCAGGTTTCTGAAAGGAAACAGCTTGGTACTGAAACAGCTTCTCTTAACAATATTTAAAAATTAAAATTACTTCAAAGACCACTTACAGTACACATTTATTTATTTATTTTTTCAACCAATTCTGCACCATGCTCATATAATGCAGGTTAGTTTTTTTAAAGCAACTTTCAAGTTCTGCTACTGGTCAAGTAAGTAGTAAAGTGCTGAAGGAAAAAACACACTGGGACAGAGAAGATGTGGCTTTAAAACTTTTTTGGATTTTGGTTTTTTGGGTTTTTTTTTTTTTTTGGCGGGGGGGGGAGAGGTTTGTTGGTTTTTGTGTTTTTATTTTACAATTTCAGGGAGAAGTAAAGTTCCAGCAAAGCACAGTTAGCATTTCCAGTTTAAATTTATCCTTTCAGAGATGGGACTGAAAGGTTACCCAGGAGCACATTTCTCAGTAGGGAAACACAGGGTCCTCTGGAAAATCATTATCATCTCTCATGCAGAGGTACACAACTTCCACAATCATTTCCTTCTGCTCTCTGGATACCTCTTACATTCTTCAGGCACATCAGACTGAGCCAAATGACTCAAGGTCTGACAAGATGATCAACCACATTTCAGGTGTCATAGAATCAGGTTGGAGGGACCTTACAGCTCACCTCCTTCCAATCCCCTCTGATCCCCTTGGTGCCTGCTCTGGCCTGGCTCCAGCAGGTCCCTGTCCTTGCTGTGCTGGGAGCCCAGAGCTGGATGCAGCCCTGCAGGTGGGGTCTGAGCAGAGCGGGGCAGAGGGGCAGAATCCCCTCCCTGCCCTGCTGCCCACGGGGCTTTGGATGAGCCCAGCACACGGGGGGATCTGGGCTCCCAATGGCCAGGGCATGTCCAGCCCCCTGGGCTGCTCTGGATTTGTTCATCCCCAGCCTGGATTGTGTCCTGCTGGATATCCCTTACTCCTTGGAGGGAACTGAAGGTGGCGGCTGCCTACCTTAAAGGGATACCTGCTGCTTTCGCTTTGCAGTTCTTCCGCAGTGAAGACTTTCCCAATGAATCTCTTGGCGTCGTAGATGGTGTTCTGAGGATTGGCATCGGCCAGCTCCAGCCCTTCGTACCCCACGTGCGCCCCGGTGTCCGTGAAGGAGACCACGCTGGGGATGCTGCTGTGCCCGTGCCCGTCCGCGATGACCTCCACAGCCCCGCTGCCGGGCAGGAACACGCCCACGGAGCAGTAGGTGGTGCCCAGGTCGATCCCGATCACGCGGGGGGTGGGCATGGGCAGGTACTGCTGCGCCAGGTAGCTGGCCAGGAGCAGGGCCAGCACAGCAGAGCCTGAAACGCGGATTGGGAGCAGCGGGGTTAGGGCAGCAGCGCTGCCAGCCCACGAGCGGACGGCGCGGTGTGACACGCTGCACATTTACCTCACACCCCACGGGCTGCGCAGCCACCTCATTAGCTTTTAATTCCCTGCTCAACAGAGAGTGGCTACAAGTCGAGAATTTAAGGCATTAAACATTGAACTGATTGAGGAAAAAAAGCCCAAGAGGCAGCCAAGCCAAAAATATCACTGCACTGTAATAATTCCATTTCTCTCTGCATGTTTCTGCAGTAACACAGGCTAATTAGTACTTCTGAAGGAGCTGCCTATGAATGACCCTAAAAGGACATCGAGTTAATGGGGCCACCCAAAACCACAGTGAAACTACGAACTCAATTCTAACACCTCCAGCTTCACCAGAAGGCTAAAAATAAGGGGAGAGAAACCCACAGTACCTTGTTCTGTTTCAGCCATAGCTCCCAAAAAAGCATATTCCCACACCTCTGAATCCATCCTGTACCTTGAAACCCAAGGGAAGACCAGCTTATGTGCAGAAGAGTTCGTTGTTGTGCCACTGAGCACTCTGACTGTCACAGAATCCCACAGTGGGTCAGGTTGGAAAGGACCACAGTGGCTCATCTGGTCCCACCTCCCTGCTCCAGCAGGGCCATCCCAGAGCACATGGGACAGGATTGTGTCCCGACACTTCTGGAATATCTCCAGTGGGGGAGACTCCACATCCTCTCTGAGTGATCTGTCCCAGTGTTTGGTCACTGCACAGTGAAGAATTTCTTCCCCATGTTCAGGTGAAACTTCTGTGCAACAATTCCTGCCCATTGCCCCTTGTCCCATTGCTGGGCACCACTGAGCAGAGCCTGGTCCCTGCTCTGACCCCTCTCTGCAGACACTGGGAAGAAAAAATTTATGAGGTTCCCCAGCATTGATGAAGTCCCCTCTCAGTCGTCTCTTCTCGAGGCTCAACAGCCCCAGCCCCCTTAGCCTTTGCTTCTAAAAGATCCAGTCCCTCATCACCTCTTGCCCTCCTCTGGACCCGCTCGAGGAGAGCCATGTCTCTTCTGTTCAGAAGAGCCCAGAATTGGACACAGCACAACACACCGAGCACGCGAGAGCGGAAGCAAAACTCCCCAAAACCCGCCGCGCCGCCGCCTCACCCAGCACGGCCATCTGCCCCGCCATGTCTGCCCGTGGCTCTGCTGCTGACGGCTCCTTCCGGGCCGCGCGGGGCACGCAGGGAACGGTAGTACACATATCCCGCCCGCTCTGCTGCTGCTATGGAGGAGAAAACCACAACTCCCGATGCGCATCGCGGCGCAGCCGGTTCCGGCGGGTACCAGCCAATGGGCGGCGAGGCGCGTTACCGGTTAGCAGGGAAGGCGGTGTGTGCCCTCTCAGAGGCGCATACGCAGATCCGGGTGCGGTCGCGGTGACTGCTGGGAGTTGTAGTCCCGCGCCCCGGCGCCATGGTGCTCTGCGGCCTCCCGCCAGCGTGAGGCGTCAGAGACCGCGGCTGTGGCGGTGCTGGGGCAGAACGTCTTCCTTTATCCCCTCGGTTTTCAGCTAGAAAGTACCGAACCCCCCCCTGCAAGGGTTTCGAGAGAGCCCGGCCGTGGTGCCTTTCACACGGCCAAGAGGCAGGTTCGGAAAGGAGACGTTGTTTATTTTGGAGAAGCAAGGAGAGTGCGGGTGAAACCTGCCCCTCAGAGGCGTCCTGCAGGGCAGGGCGGGCGGCCGCTCCGAGAAATGCCGTCTGCAGTTCTCTGTGGTTTGCTTCTCATCACTTCTTCCTCCCCTCTGCTCCGCTCTCATAAGGAGTAATGGATTTTCAGGTTCTTGCAGAGCAGGTTTCTGTTTCGGGCAGAAGTTTTAAGTTAGAAGCTTTTTAAATATAAAAATATTCATAAATGAGTAGCTGGTAGCAAATAGCATAGTGGAAAAAATGTTAGACTAAGTCCTGTTGCAGCTACCATCTCCAGCATCTCTGTTTCTCCTAAGTGATGGAAAGACACATAACCCAAAAGTAATTCCCAGGAGCTCACTTAAAAACACCTTCTATATGCAAAGACACTGGCACTGCTTTAACTTAATAGTAAAAATACATTCATCCTCCACTTGTGGTTAACGTATAGTGACGTGCTTCATTCTCAGCATGAGAAAGCGGAAACTCTTTGGAAAGGGAAGGAAAGGTTAAACCATTCAGCCTCCTTAATGACTCATGATCTGCCTCTTTTCTAATTACTTAGGTGACTTAATTTCTATTCTTAATTTCTTTTGCATACTTTAATAATTTTTCTTGAAGTGGGACCATTGTAATTGTGCTCATTCTTAAGTGGGGGAAACTCATAATAGTTGTTTACAGTACTTCTTTATCCATGTAACTCATGAGCAGGCACTTTGTGTTTTGTGCCACTGCCAGTGGATGGTGAGCAGAAAAAAAGGTTTAGCACAAACACAATCAAACTGCTCAAGATTTTGATATTTAATAGCAGATTTTTTTAATACATAGGGATCATCTGAAATATGACACTGCAGAGTGCAGATATGTAGGGATGTGTTCTAAAAAAGTACAAGCCCCTTATTTCAGAGATTTTTTCCTTTTCTGGAGCAGAGGCATGGCTTTGGTTTTTGTCCTTGAGCTTAAACCTCTAAAAGACTTTGGAATCCCTTGTTACCATACCTGCCCAAGGACAGAACTCAAATGCCCTTTTCTTTTTTTTCCTGCATGATTTCCGTTCTATTTCTCATTAGCAAAGCAGCTTAATGACTCCAGTGTGTCAGTCAAGGCCTCCCCAGCTGACTGGCTCCCTGGAGGCCTGGCTGTTCCTGCAGGATTACACGGCACAGGCCACCTGCCTGGGAGTCAAGTCAAGGGGAGCATCTCAGCAGGCTTTGTGCCCTGCAGCAGAAGCCACTGCCTCCCCTGCAGCTGCTTTGGGCTGCTGCAGAGTTTGGGGCTCGGTCCACCACAAGTATTCTGTAGTCCCTTGAGCACATGCTCTTCAGCAGATGTGCTTAAAAGAAGTCCACAAGTTCCTAATTGTTTCCCTCCACGTCTTCTCCATGGCATAATTAGGACCTGCTCATGGAGGCTCCTGGACTGTGCACAGTGATGCCAGACTTGTCTTGCATCTCCAAAATGGGCAGAATTAATCCTAGTGACCTTGCCCTTGTGTTTTTGGGCATTACCACTGTGTTTTCTGTATCACCTTTCTTAACCTACTTTTGTTTGTGACAGGGAGGCCTGTCTCCATTTTCCTCCATTATCTGAGGGAGTGCTACACTCAGGAATGGATTGTTCAGGAACACAAGGGAACATTCAGTGTTCCTGAACAAGAAAATGGCTTGATTTTGCACAGAATAATTCAATATTCATTGGGCAATAGAGGGAGAGGCTTATTTGACTGGGAGAGAAAGCTATGGAGCCTCTGCCCCACAGAGTGCCTCATGGGGAAAGCATAAATGTGTTTGGGGCAGTCACTGGAAGGCTGGTCTTTGTTTTCCTGGAGTGCTGTGCTTTTGCCACTTCCCTGCAGCAGCAGGCAGGGCACATTCTCCGTGGTGAGCACCCTCACCCGAGGGTGGGCAGTGCGAGTTCAGACCTGCACAGCTGCTTTCCAAAAGCTGTGGTAAAGCTTCTCTGGGTGCCCCTGAGTGAGGGGCTGCAGTGCCAGGGGCTGCTCATCCTGAGCTGCTAGCCTGGGACACCTGGGCTGGGCCACATCGAGTGGCCCTTGGCCACCACCACTGGCACCCCAACACCTGCCTGCCTCTGCCTGTAACAGGGGTGTGCAGCCAGCTGCCTCTGAGGGGCTGGGCAAATGCTTGTTTATCCTTCTTAGTGCATCTGTTCACTCTGGTAGTAAGCTGTTTATAACATTTCAAACGCTTTTCGGGGATTAATTTCCTTCAAGGGGCTGTTCTTTTCCCCTGGTGCTTTGATAGGTGGAGGTAAACATGTTTTTGTCTGCAAGTAGCTTGAGGGAGAGAATTGTTCTTACAATGTAAGAGCAGAGGCTGGTTTTAAAGCAGTCTCCCATCAGATGTGAACTGGTGTCTGCAGGAAAAATCCTGCTGCACTGGGGATTATCACTCAAACCCTACACCTGTGATGTGCTAAACACAGTTCAAGCATTCGGTGCGTGTGGAATCAAATACAGCTTGTTTTCATTTGCAGGATGCTTTGCATCAGCTGTATCCTTGCATTTGGAGAAAAGGGAATTGAGTTTGCAAAGCATCCTCTTTTCTGCTGTTGTGTAAAACAGGATTTCATCATTCTAGGGTGTACTCGGTGAGTGCTTTCTGCACTACCCCAGCCAGTGTCTAAAACTGAAACACACGATGCTGGGATATGGTCAAAGCACAGTGTGATCCCAGTGTCAACCCAGGATGATCAATCCATGTTTTCCCACGATGAAGGAGGAAGGGGGAGAAGGATTGAGATCACTTTGTAGGTGGAGAGTAGCATCACTGTCTCTCTGAGAAGGGAGGTGATTGATGCAAGGTATTTAGGAGATGCTAGAATCTGAAACCTCATTTTCAGTTTTTACTTTAGATAACAGTGCCTTAGTGTGAGCACCTTGTCAAAATTGCAGAGGTCCCTGATGGTTCCTTTCCCTAATTAAAACACTGATCTTCTCCTGCTGGATCTGCTTGGGAAAGGGATGAATTTCACCAGCCTTCCTCTGACAGTTCAATGTCAGGCAGCTGGATAGAGGAGCACAGCCTTCAATTTAGATGCAGAAGTTTCCATTAAAATTCCAGCACACAGCCTGAAGACTTTTGGCTCCTGTTGAGTGGCTGGCTGGCTGGGCAGGGGTGTGCTGCATTCTCCATTAGTCACAAACTCACTCCCCAGCTGGAGGCAGCAGGAGCAGCTCAGGGCTTCTCCCAGGATCCACAGCCCCGGAGAGCTGAACCACGAGGCGTGGGAGGAGTGCAAGAAGCACCCAGCAGATGTCTCTGCCATGCAGCATTCCTTCCCCAGATTGCTTTTGGTGTCTGACAGATACCTGCAGATTCAAATAAAGCACGTTAACCTTTAGCAGTAGTTATCTAAAGTCTTGTAAAGGCATAAGTCATGAAAACGGTGCCACATTTTCATTGCAGTTTCTTTAATCGCTTTAACATACCCATTTCACCAAACCCTCATGAAATAATTTTGAGGTTAACAATGAAATTACTGTTTCCCCTTTCATGAATACAGTTGCAGTGATACCAATATAATGTAACCCAGTAGGTGTCTAGGAAAAACAATTTGGAAGACAAAAGAGATTTTCACAGATTTTTTTATCTGTCCCACTTTTCTTCTTGAATTTCATTTGATCTGAATGCCCATGCAGCTTTCTGTGGTGTGAAAAATAAAAACCAGAGACATTTTATTGAAGAGAGAAGGCAGTTTGGCACTTATTGGTCTGGTAACTGAGAGTTTCTCTTCCTGCTTGACCATGATGAAGTGGGCCGGTGTTGCCAGGCCTTGAATTCTCCCCAGCCACAGCAACCTGGGGTAGTGGGCCTGAATCATGGCTTGCCTTGGACTCATGCTGGAGCCTGGAACACATCATCCACCAGCTCAGCTTGGGTGTCCTGTGTGGGAGCAGGGAGAGTGGGGCTGCACGGGGTGACAGGAACAGTGATCACAGAGAGCAGTGTTTGCAGCACCTCGCTCCATGAAGGGCTGCAGAGCTCAAGGATGGAATGGCTGGGAGCCTCATCATGTGCACCAATCATCTTGGTGATAATGATAATGAATAAGAGTTCCAGCCGTCTCCCAGGAGGCCACTTTACCTCGTTCATGCTGTGTATATGAAATCCATACAGATGTCAGTCAGGCTTGTCAATTCAGTCTATTGTAAATGACAACAAAAGGATAAACACAAGAATGCACTCAAATATAGCTGCCTGAGCAGTGAACTCCCCAGGCAGAGGAGAAGTTTCACAGTATGTGTGGATAGAGCAAAGTTCTGTTCTGTTTTGTTGCTTGTTTTTTTGTTTTGTTTTGTTTTGTTTTTTTGGGGGTTTTTTGTGGAGTACTGAGGCAGAAGTATCAGAGTATCTGTTTTACATTTGTTCTTTTCCTGGAGGTATCACCTACAGTACCTCAGTGGGTTTGTGCACTGGATAAGAACTTTTGTGCCTTTACTGTGAATC